CTAAAGCTAACACGAAAACGAATTTTTCTCCATGAAATACTTAAAAAATATTGTTTTTTTCACTGGATTTTGATAAAGATATATAAAATGAACAAAAATATCAATAGCAGCCATGAGCAATGCCGGCACAAACACGCGCATCAAATCTCCCGCTGCCATGACCACGTGCGGATTGCAATACCTTGTTTTTACTTTCACTTTCACTTTCATCCCCAAGTCCCATATCATTATCAATATAGTCAGTCAATAGATCTACACGTTCGGGACTCAGGAATTGCCTACGTCTTTTACGATCCAGCAGGACAGCATTATTATCAACATCAGAATTATTGTCAGAATCTACTGCAGACACAGGGCTATCGTGTTCACATTGGGCGGAACGTCGCGCAACAAATCACACACTTCATAATACCAATCACTGTCCTGACTACTATCATTATCAAGTAACTGGAAACAAATTATGTGTATCACCCGCCTCGAAATTGTCCACGTGTTGGTCAGCAAGACGTCATTCACGACTTCGTCGAGAGTGCATCGTCTACGTTGTCACTATGCACTCCGCCATTTTACTGTTTGCCGCTTTGAAACACGTGGAAATATGTTCTTGTGTATAGAAAATACAATAGATGGCACTTGCAGTTACGGTACTAATTTAGCGAGGGCTTTACTGAGTACACGGTAATACCGGGTACGCGCATTATACCGACATTTTATAATACCCGGTACTACCGGGTATACGCAGTGAAAGGGTTAATAAGCCCGGTCAGTACAAAAAAAACTAGGACATTAATCCCCATTTCATTTCATTTCATCATATTGGCCCCAAATGCAGCACTTCCCCATATTGCAGATAACGTGGCCTTAATTTGTAAAAGAAAAGAGGCATTATAAAAAAAAAGGTGATTGAAACATGTATAACTTTATTTTTCATATTTGGTCAACATACAATTTGCCTCTTGACAGCCAATATTTATTTTGTTCACCACAACAAATACTGAGGATTCTTTCAACAAAATGTTGCACATACATGTAAATTGTCGAGATTACAAACACAAAGTTGCAATTCTGGAGATATGGTAAATGTAACACTTCCTCTGGTATTGCAAATACAGAGTTTTTCTTGAATCTTATCTTTAATAGTGTTGTACAAAGAAATTCAACTAATTGGAATCCTAGGGCCTGAAAGAATAATGGTAAATATTTGTCTTTAATAAATGAATTTAGTCATAGTGGACATAAATTAACTAAAATTACAAATTACCACCACTACCATCAAAGTATCAACAAACTGAAGGCAGTTCTAGATGCAAGTTTACAACACAATGTCATGAAGTTTCATAAATACACCTCCACTGGACACAAACTAGGTCATTTCGGGACTAACATATGGTTCAATTTTATTTCAATAATTCGCTTGTGTTCTGGGAGTCTTTAGCAGTGGAAGGAAACCAGGAGGACCCGGAAAAAACCATGATAGGCGAGCCTGAAAGATACTTTTAACGGTTTATGAGATATGCTTTGTAAATGAAATCTGGGCGGACAAACCTCGTACTATGTTCGACCCGGAATAATAATAGTTTTACAAGAACAAGAAATTACCTTATTGCTGACAATATTAAATCCGAAGCCTCTATTCTGCTTTTCTTATCTTAGGACTGCACACCTAAAATGTTAACAATTGTTATTGTCAATATTATATACATGAAATAAACTTAAATAGGTTTTAATTTCTAATTGAGCTAATAAAAACAGGCAAACGCCATGCAATGAGCTACATGGGAAATTTTGCCTAGACAGAGGTGCAATGGCCTACTCTTACAGTCAAGTGTTTTTATACGCCCACATTTTCATGTGGAACGTATATTGTCATTGTCCCTGTCCGTCCGGACGTCTGGACGTCCATCCACAATTTGTTTGTGGACACTCTACAGGTCGCAATTCTTATCCGATTTTGACAAAATTTGAAATATAGGTTTATCTCCAAAAGATCTCGGCTGGTTTAGAAAATGGCATTTATCGGATCGAAACTTCATGGATTATGGCCCGTTTGTACGAAAAATCACGGTTTTAGCTTGTGGACCCTATAGAGGTCACAGTTTTTATCTGATTTTGTTGAAACTTAAAATGTTAGTTTATAACCCAAAGATCTCGGTTCCTTTCGATATTCGCGCATATCGGAACATAACTTCCTGAATTATGGCCCCTAATAGTACAAAAAATCACGTTTTTAGCTTGTGGACACTATAGAGGTCATAATTTTTATCCGATTTAAAAAAACAGTATTATTATTTCACCGTTACACCCTAAGGACGACTGAGTTCGAATTTTGTGAAAATCGGCCCAAAACTGACAGACAAAATGTCCGCCCTTCGTTCTCAAATAGCGTAAAAATACGGCATATCAAGGTTGTGGACCCTATAGAGGTCACAATTTTTATCCAATTTTGTTGAAACTTGAAATGTAAGTTTATAACCCAAAGATCTCGGTTCCTTTCGATATTCGCGCATATCGGACCATAACTTCCTGAATTATGGCCCCCGATTGTACGAAAAATCACGTTTTTAGCTTGTGGACCCTATAGAGGTCATAATTTTTATCCGATTTAAAAAACCGTATTATTATATCACCATTACACCCTAAGGACGGCTGAGTTCAAATTTCGTGAATATCGGCCCAAAATTGACAGACAAAATGGCCGCCGTTCGTTCTCAAATAGCGTAAAAATATGGTATTTCAAGGTTGTGGACCCTATACAGGTCACAATTTTTATCCGATTTTGTTGAAACTTGAAATGTAAGTTTATAACCCAAAGATCTTGGTTCCTTTCGATATTCGCGCATATCGGACTGTAACTTCCTGAATTATGGCCCCTGATTGTACGAAAAATCGCGTTTTTAGCTTGTGGACCCTATAGAGGTCATAATTTTTATCCGATTTAAAAAAACGTATTATTATATCACTGTTACACCCTTAGGACGGCTGAGTTTGAATTTCGTGAATATCGGCCCAAAATTGACAGACAAAATGGCCGCCGTTCGTTCTCAAATAGCGTAAAAATATGGTATTTCAAGGTTGTGGACCCTATAGAGGTCACAATTTTTATCCAATTTTGTTGAAACTTGAAATGTAAGTTTATAACCCAAAGATCTCGGTTCCTTTCGATATTCGCGCATATCGGACCATAACTTCCTGAATTATGGCCCCCGATTGTACGAAAAATCACGTTTTTAGCTTGTGGACCCTATAGAGGTCATAATTTTTATCCGATTTAAAAAACCGTATTATTATATCACCATTACACCCTAAGGACGGCTGAGTTCAAATTTCGTGAATATCGGCCCAAAATTGACAGACAAAATGGCCGCCGTTCGTTCTCAAATAGCGTAAAAATATGGTATTTCAAGGTTGTGGACCCTATACAGGTCACAATTTTTATCCGATTTTGTTGAAACTTGAAATGTAAGTTTATAACCCAAAGATCTTGGTTCCTTTCGATATTCGCGCATATCGGACTGTAACTTCCTGAATTATGGCCCCTGATTGTACGAAAAATCGCGTTTTTAGCTTGTGGACCCTATAGAGGTCATAATTTTTATCCGATTTAAAAAAACGTATTATTATATCACTGTTACACCCTTAGGACGGCTGAGTTTGAATTTCGTGAATATCGGCCCTAAATTGACAGACAAAATGGCCGCTGTTCGTTCTCAAATAGCGTAAAAATATGGTATATTAAGGTTGTGGACCCTAAAGAGGTCACATTTTTTATCCGATTTTGTTGAAACTTGAAATGTAAGTTTATAACCCAAAGATCTTGGTTCCTGCCGATAATCGCGCATATCTGACCGTAACTTCCTGAATTATGGCCCCTGATTTTACGAAAAATCACGTTTTTAGCTTGTGGACCCTATAGAGTTCATAATGTTTATCCGATTTTAAAAAACGTATTATTATATCACCGTTACACCCTAAGGACGTCTGAATTCGTATTTCGTGAAAATCGGCCCAAAACTGAAACACAAAATGGCCGCCCCTCGTTCTAAAATAGCGTAAAAATATGGTATATCAAGGTTGTGGACCCTATAGAGGTCACAATTTTTATCCGATTTTGTTGAAACTTGAAATGTAAGTTTATAACCCAAAGATCTCGGTTCCTTCCAATATTTGCGCATATCGAATTGTAATTTCCTGAGTTATGGCCCTTGATTGTAGGAAAAATCAATTTCTTTTTAGCTTGTTCTCTATCCATCTCTCGAAAATGTGGGCGTATCCTGCCTGGCAGCCGCTGGTTTGAATTGTTCAAGGGCCATAACTCTGGCAGTAATTATCGAAAATCGTTAAAAATCAATAGGATTCTTCGTCTCATGACCTGAAACACTGTGTATAAATTTAAAGTCATCGGATATTAACTTTGACCTCTAGAGCGCCCACAAGTTTTTTTGAAGTGATCAAGGGCCATAACTTTGGCAGTAATTATCGAAAATTGCTGAAAATCAATAGGCTTCTTCGTCTCATGGCCTTTAAACACTGTGTATAAATTTAAAGTCAATCGGATATTAGCTTTAGCCTATAGAGCGTACACAATCAATTGTGGACCGACGGACGGACGGGCGACAACAATATACGACCACATTTCTATGTGGGCGTATAAAAAATCACATTTTTTTTCATAGCTTGTTCTCTATCCATCTGTGAACGCAAGATTTTAACAGATATTTTTTCAAATTTGGTTGAAGCATTGGGGTCATAAAAAGATTGCCCACAGAGATAAGATTTCTTCAAGAATCAAAGTTTTCCTTTCAGATAAGCTGCAGTTGAGACTAAGCTGCTGTGTGGGCGTATTCCACACATAATAGGTTAATATCAGTCATAATATTACTAGGGTTATATCCGAAAGAAAAGGTGTTACTGTTGTTTGCAATATCACAAATTATGTCTAAACATTGAATACATGTAGAATACAATCACTGCTCACTGTAAACTGAACCTTTCTCTTTAAGGTGAACATTTGGAAGTATGTCCACAAGGAAACACATGTTGTACCCAAGAAATGGAAGGTAAACTTCAATCACTTAGTAAAAAGGAACATCAGCAGCAAATGGATGAAGCTTATAGACTCATCAAAGTTACATTTTCTTCGAGAACAAAAAAGTTTGATGGTAAGTCCTTATCATACATGTACATGTAGCTTCATGTGTATCTATACAAAATGTCAAAACTGACATTTCTCTTTGACGAAATATTTATATGTACATGTATACATTGTACATATATTCACAGTTTTTGCACTAAACTGTTGTTTTACATGTACAGTGGAATCTGGCACTTCCGGCATCGTCTAGGATCGTTAAAATAACCTGGATTACACAGATGGAATACTCAATACCGGAACATGCACAAAAGATTGATGTCTTTTTTGAAACAACAGTTATCATCTGATCTGTATAAAATTTATATACATCACTTAAATTAGTAAAACAAAGAAGCCTATTGAATTTCGTTTCACTTTGGTGAACCTTGTGAACGCTCTAACAATATAAATTATTATCCGATCTGTATGAAATTTATATGCATCATTTAAATTAGTGAAACGAAGAAACTTATTGAATTTCAGCAATTTTCCTTAATTACTTCTAATTAAGTAACTACAAATAGTTCAAATCAATAATCCTTTGAGTAATAAAAGCATTCTTTTTTATGTTCAAATTACTTTTGTTATACGCCCACATACAAATGTGGTCGTATATTGCCGTCCGTCCGTCCGTCCATCGTCCACAATTTCTTGTGAACGCTCTACAGACTACATTTATCATCTGATTGTTTTGAAATTGATATATGTTGTTTGCATTAGTGAGATGAAGAAGCCTATTTAATTTCAATAAGTGCTGTTAATTTCTTCTGGAGTTATGGCCCATGTTTCACTTTGTTGCACCTTGTGAATGCTCTAACAACAAAAGTTATCAACCGATCTGTATGAAATTTATATGCATCATTTAAATTAGTAAAACAAAGAAGCCTATTGAATTTCAGCAATTTCCGTTAATTACATCTAGAGTTATGGTCCTTGATTCACTTTGTTGAATCTTGTGAACGCTCTAATGACAACAGTTACATGTATCATCCGATCTGTTTGAAATTGATATTAATCATTTAAATTAGTGCATTGAAGAAGCCTATTGAATTTCAGCAATTTCCGTTAATTACGCCGTGAGTTATGGCCCTTGTTTCACTTTATTGATCCTTGTGAATGCTCTAACGTCAAAAGTTATCATCCAATCTTTATGATATTTATATGCATTATTTAGATTATTGAAACGAAGAATCCTATTGAATTTCAACAATTTCCATTTATTACGTCTAGAGTTATGGCCCTTGTTTCACTTTATTGGTCCTTGTGAACATTCTAACTTCAAAAGTTATCATCCGATCTTTATGATATTTATATGCATTATTTAGATTATTGAAACGAAGAATCCTATTGAATTTCAGCAATTTCCATTTATTACATCTAGAGTTATGGCCCTTGTTTCACTTTATTGGTCCTTGTGAACATTCTAACTTCAAAAGTTATCATTCGATCTTTCTGAGCATTATTTACATTAGTGAGACGAAGAAGCCTATTGAATTTCAGCAATTTCTGTTTATTATGTCTAGAGTTATAGCCCTTGTTTCACTTTATTGATCCTTGTGAACGCTCTGATGCCAAAAGTTACCACCCGATCTTTGTGAAATTTATATGCATGATTTAATTTAGTGAAACGAAAAAGCCTATAGTATTTCAGCAATTTACAATAATTACTTCTAGAGTTATTGCCCTTGTTTCACTTTTTTAAATCTTGTGAACACTCTAATGACAACAGTTATCATCCGATATGTATGAAATTTATATGCATCATTTAAATTTGTGAAACAGGTCTATTGAATTTCAGCAATTTCCGTCAATAATTTCTAGAGTTATGGCGATTGTGAACGTTTGAATGACAAAAGTGATCATGTGACCTGTATGAAATTTATATGCATTATTTAAATTAGTATAACGAAAAAGCCTGTCAAATTTCAACAATTTCTGTAGATTACTTTCAGAGTTGAGACCCTTGTTTCAGTTTGTAGAACCTTGTAAACCCTCAAACAACAAAATTTATAATCTGATCTGTATGGAACTGTCTTGTAAAGGCCCCCAATTACCTACAAAGGAATAAATATGCGACAACCCTTGTCGACCGCTCTGACGATTTAGCTGCTGTGGGCGTATGTTTTGTTGCCTGGCAACCTATCTTTAGAACCTTGTGAACCCTCAAACGACGAAAATTATGTCATCTGTATGAAATTGTCTATTAAATTCCCCTAATAACCTACAAAAGATAAATATGTGACAACCCTTGTCGACTTCCCTGATGATTTAGCTGCTGTGGGCGTATGTTTTGTTGCCTGGCAACCTATCTTTTTCTTTTTCAGAATTTTTCACAGAATTATTAGACAATGCTAGAAAAGACTTACATGAAATGTTTGTCAAAACTTATGGACTGCTTTATCAACAGAATTCATACATTTTTACAGACTTGTTTAATGATTTACGAGGATATTACAAAGGCAAAGATAAAAACCTTATGGATGTTATGGACAACTTTTTCAGTAGATTATTACAGAAAATGTTTCAACTTTTAAATGCTCAGTATCAATTTGATGATGAATATATGAGTTGTGTAACAGAGAGAATGGATGATTTACAACCATTTGGAGATGTTCCTATCAAATTGTCTATACAGGTTAAAAGAGCATTTATTGCCGCTAGAACATTTGTGCAAGGTTTGGCAATTGGCCGTGACGTTGTTATGAATGTAATGGAGGTAAGTTTCTCGAAAAATTAATAGATGTTAAGCTGCTCACATGAATCTCAACTTCCAATTTGTTTTCTGACAAATTTTCCAAATTTCAACCAAAGTTTAAAAAATTAATAAAAAAACCAACTGATTTTTATACGCCCACATTTTCATGTATTATGCCATCCGGATGTCCGTCCACAATTTGTTTGTGGACACTCTACAGGTCACAATTTTTATCCGATTTTGATGAAATTTGAAATATAGGTCTATCTCCCAAAGATCTTGGTTCCTTTCGATATTGGCATGTATCGGACCATAACTTCATGGATTATGGCCCCTGATTGTACGAAAAATCATGTTTTTAGCTTATGGACACTTTAGAGGTCACAATTTGCATCAGATTTTTATGAAACTTGAAATGCATGCTTATAAGCCCAAGATCTTGGTTCGTTTCGATATTCGCGCATATCGGATCATAACTTCCTAAACTATGGTCCCTGATTTTACGAAAAATCACAATTTTAGCTTGTGGTCCCTCTACAGGTCACAGTTAGTATCCGATTTAAAAAAAAACCTTTCAAATGTATCACCGTTACACCCTAAGGTTGGTTGAGTTCAAATTTCGTAAAAATCGGACCGAAACTAACAGACAAAATGGCCGGCCCTCATACTCAAATAGCGTAAAAATATGGTACAGTACACTTCGAGCGGAAGTATGAAAATAGTCCTTGTGGGTGTTTTTCCGCTCAAAAATCGCGGTGTTTTACCCATATACACTCCGCGGAATTAGAGACGTTCTGGGCGGAAAAAAGTCCGCGAAAATATAAAATTCGCGGTGGATTATCGCCCGCGAAAATATGAATTTCGCGGCGGATTATAGTCGGTGGAAATATCAAATTCGCGGCGGATTATAGTCCATAGTGATTTGAAATAGTCAGAGTAATTTAGTCCATATTGCCACAACGTTATTAGAAAGAAACAAATATTGAATGGAACGATATCACGAGTATATTAGTCGTTTTAGTTCACCGGTAATTCATATATTCATAATACTCTTTTCAAATTCCGTTTTGATTATTAACTAAAGTGTACCAATGTATTATTGTATTCATATCCTAAAATGTCCGTTATGTTCTATTCATTTATAATGTACATCTACATCGGTATTTAATTCGTGAATCACACCATAAAGCACATACACATAGCAATTTTCTATGTCATTAGTTGATCCGACAAGCAGACAATGAAACCATGTTTCGTGAATTCTGATAACAATGTCTGAAAATGGACGACAATAAACATACATGTATATAGAAGGTAGCGATTTGCACGTGGATGTCTTAAAATATGCTGGGGGTTTTATATACTGATTTATTATCCGTTTTAATTATGAACAACAATTTAACGATATTCCTAGAAATAAACAAATCAGCATAAATTGCTAGGAAGGAATATTTTCTCCTTTAACGGTAATTCAATTAAAATGACGATTCGGCTCCCAACGTTCAATATATACATGTACTTTATGTCCCCAAAATTAAAAGTCATATTGGATAGAAGCTGGAAGATTGTTTACTTATTTCAGTTTCGTATTTGACTTCACAGATTCCCCATTCCCCACATTGCAAAACAGATCAACACGTCAAATCGTTTCAGTTACAGGTATAAGGCTTAAAAATATCATGTCTTAAATAGCCCCTTCAAATATTTCTTTTTATACTTTAACTTATAAATGCAACACACAAACTGCTTACCGTATTTATACAGTTGACGATAAATATCCTAAATAATAATCCGGTTTGGTTTCTTTCCAATAATTATCAATGAACATATCGAAGAACCTTTAATAAAACACCGAACAACCAGATCTTATGAATGGGATCTTGTCCGAACAGAACTTAGATTAATAGTAACTGATCAAAGGGTGAACATCAAACAGAACAAAGGAAATTGCCTAACAAAAAAGCATGCGTTAGTTATAAGGGATGATTTGTGTGCTAAATTAAAAATATTATCACCGAGGGGGGTTCACTCGTCCGCCGCTATAAGAAATACTATAATGTGGGTATCAATAAACCTAACCCTAACTCAACCCTAATGATAGATATCGGTGGACTAATGAACCCTAACCTAACCCTAAAGAAAGATATCGGAACCCTAACCCTAACCTAACCCTAATTCATCGTAGCCTGTTCGTAATTTAGCCGTGACAACCGCACCTATTTAGTGTGAAAATCCAGTTTGTTCGCGTCCCAATTGTAATTATTCTTTATTAATGAGGTCAACTATTTTGGGTAATGATTACTTACTGACAATTCAGAATGAAAGTATTGTCTACAAGACTACGACATGGTAACAATTTGTTGTTAAAGGGGCTTCTATTATAGTCAATTATCAATTTCTTTTGATGACACATGCGAATTCACGTAATTTGGAAACTTGATTGACAGTATGCATTGACTCAGACTCTTTGGTGCCGAAATGAATAGGTCATCATGGTATTATGTACATGTTTGCGTCAAGGTTGACGTTGACTTCTGGCGAGGTGTGCATTTAATTCATTTGTGATTTAAATCCGAAGATATAATACTTCAGGTGTGATTTACCGATTTACAATGCATTGTGAAACTTATTTGTCAGAATGGGAATGATATTTTAATGGACAAAACTTTCGCCCACGGTAAGACCAGCATCTATGTGTATAAATTTTGAAATTTTCGTAATTTGAACGAGTTTGAATGTCTTAAAAATGTCGAACATATTGATGAAGTAATGTATCGTACAGCCATAACTCTGTTTATTATATTATATAAAAGCCTGCCAATTTTTGATATTTGTTATATTTTCAATGTAAGACAGCAAAATCTGCGTGTCTAACCATGTTAAATTAACAATCTTTTTTTTGCATGCCGTATTAGCTGATATTCGACTACAATATGATGACGCACTATAAATAAACCTAGCTATTTTAAAACATTTACATGTACGGATGTGCTGACTGTACATGCATGGAAAGTCCGACTTAAAGGGGCACGGTGCGATATGGTTTTTGTGCCAAATTAAAAAAAAATATCACCACCGGTTCAACGAATGATTTTAACAGAATATGTCCCCTGCGAATATGATTAAGTATTCTTTTCACACGGTGCATACGCCAACCTTTAAGTCTGTACCGATTCAAAAATTGAATTATCTTTTATATCCACATTTTTTAAATCCCGAGTTTTATCGTAAATAAAATTAATAGAAAGTATTGTTTACAAAAATACGACATGGTAACAATTTGTTGTTAAAGGGGCTTCTATTTTAGTCAATTATCAATTCCTTTTGATGACACGTGTGAATTCACGTAATTAATTAGGAATCTTGACTGACAGTATGCATTGACCCAGACTCTTTGGTGCCGAAATCAAGGTATTATCCGACTGATACATGTACGTGTTAATGTACATGTGTTCAGCAAGGTTGACAGTGACTTCTGGCTATGTGTGCTTGAAAACGGGACATGAAGGCATATAATACTTGTTCGGGTGTGATTTATCAATTTAAAATGCATTGTGTGACATATTTGTCCGAATGGAAATGGCTATTTCGATGGACAAAACTTTCGCTAATGGTAAGACCAGCATCTATGTGTGTAAACTTTGAAATTTTCGTAATTTGAATGAGTTTGAAATAGTCGATCGATGCAAGACTTAAAAATGTCGAACATATTGATGAAGTAATGTATCGGTACAGCCATAATTCTGTTTATTTTATTATTTAAAAGCCTGTTTGATTTTTGTTATTTTTCAATATAAGCCAGTAAAATATGCGTGTCTAACCGTGTTAAATTAACAATCTTTCTTTTGGCATGCCGTATTAACCGATATTCGACTACGATATCACTGCCTTGGAATCGCACGATAAATAAACCCATTTCAAACCAGCTATGGATGTGCCGACTGTACATGCGTGGAAAGTCCGACTTTTTAAAATTTCGCGGTGGGCGGCAGTTTCAAATAATCGCGGAGGTCGGCAGTTTATTTAAATTCGCGGAGGAAATTTAATGCAGAATTTTCAGCGTGGCCAGAGCGGATTGATTAACTGACGTCCGCGATTTTTCATTTCCGCCCAGGTCGGACCTCGGGGAAATTTGTATTTCCGCTTGAAGTGTTCTGTATATCAATATTGTGGACCCTCTAGAGGTCACAATTTTCTTCTAATTTTGATGAAACTTGAAATGTAAGTTTATAACCAAAAGATCTTGGTTCCTTTCAATATTTGCGCATATCGGATCTTAACTTCATGGATTATGGCCCCTGATTGTACGAAAAATCATGTTTTTAGCTTATGGACACTTTAGAGGTCACAATCTGCATCAGATTTTTATGAAACTTGAAATGCAAGCTTATAAGCCCAAGATCTTGGTTCATTTTGATATTCGCGTACATCGGATCGTAACTTCCTAAATTATGGTCCCTGTTTTTACGAAAAATCACAATTTTAGCTTGTGGTCCCTCTACAGGTCACAGTTAGTATCCGATTTAAAAAAAGCCATTCGAATATATCACCGTTACACCCTAATGATGGTTGAGTTCGAATTTCGTAAAAATCGGACCGAAACTGACAGACAAAATGGCCGCCCCTCGTACTCAAATAGCATAAAAATATGGTATATCAATGTTGTGGACCCTCTAGAGGTCACAATTTTCTTCTGATTTTGATGAAACTTGAAATGTAAGTTTATAACCCAAAGATCTTGGTTCCTTTCAATATTCGCGCATATCGGATCTTAACTTCCTGAATTAGGGCCCCTGATTGTACGAAAAATCACGTTTTTAGCTTGTGGACTCTATAGAGGTCATAATTTTTATCCGATTTAAAAAACGTTTTGGTATATCACCATGACACCCTAAGGATGGTTGAGTTCGAATTTCATGAAAATCGGCCCAAAACTGACATACAAAATGGCCACCCCTTGTTCTCAAATAGCGTAAAAATATGGTATATCAAGGTTGTGACTTCCTGAATTATGGCCACTG